TGCGAGAAAGCCATGGCAGCTGAAGTGGGGTCATAGCACTTTATTTTGTAGTGGTAGAGGGCATAGGACAACAACGAAATCTGTATGTAGCAACTGGTATTTTCGGTCTCTGAATCCCCAGTTGGCACAAGGCCATCGCAACTAAGCGTCTCCATCTATTTGCCTCCTTGCTTTGGAAAGCGGTGGGATGTTGGCGGTCCTTCCATGGACAGCCTACCTTTTAATAATACACAATGTGAAGAATAAATTCGATATTTTCTAGATAGAATTTTATTCCAGTTCTTCATGGACACCCTTTATTATTTGCTCCCCCAACTCTCGCCCAAATAAGCAGTCCTACACTTAGTAAGACCTGGGGCTGACTGTAGCTCAGATCACAAACTTCTTATTGCCCAATTTAGAATAAAACTAAAGAGATCAGGGAAAATACACAGACCAGTTAGATATGATCTAACTAACATTCCTAGCGAATATACAGTGGAAGTGAAGAACAGATTTGAAGGACTAGATTTAGTAAACAGAGTCCCAGAAGAACTATGGACAGAAGTCCGAGACATTGTTCAGGAGGCGGCAACAAAGTACGTCCAAAGAAAAAGAAAACCAAGAAGGCAAAATGGTTGTCTGCTGAGACACTGGAAGTAGCCCAAGAAAGGAGGAAAGCAAAAGGAAACAGGGATAAGGGGAGATATGCCCAGTTAAATGCGCAATTCCAGAGGTTAGCCAGAAGAGATAAGGAACTATTTTTAAATAAGCAATGCATGGAAGTGGAAGAAGACAACAGAATAGGAAGGACAAGAGACCTCTTCCAGAAAATTAGAAACATTGGAGGTAAATTTCAGGCAAAAATTGGTATGATAAGAAACAAAGATGGCAGGGACCTAACAGAAGCTGAAGAGATCAAGAGAAGGTGGCGAGACTATACAGAAGATCTGTATAGGAAGGATAATAATATTGAGGATAGTTTTGACGGTGTGGTGAATGAATTAGAACCAGACATCCTGAGGAGTGATGTTGAATGGGCCTTAAGAAGCATTGCTAACAACAAGGCAGCAGGAGATGACGGGATCCCAGCTGAACTGTTTAAAATCTTAAAAGATGATGCTGTCAAGGTGATGCATGCCATTTGCCAGCAAATATGGAAAACACAAGAATGGCCATCAGACTGGAAAAAATCAACTTATATCCCCATACCAAAAAAGGGAAATGCGAAAGACTGCTCAAACTTCCGTACAGTGGCCCTTATTTCTCATGCCAGTAAGGTAATGTTCAAGATCCTGCAAGGAAGACTCCAGCAATACATGGAGCGAGAGTTGCCAGATGTTCAAGCTGGGTTTAGAAAAGGCAGAGGAACGAGAGACCAGATTGCCAATATCCGCTGGATAATGGAGAAAGGCAGGGAGTTTCAGAAAAACATCTACTTCTGCTTCATTGACTATTCTAAAGCCTTTGACTGTGTGGATCATAATAAATTGTGGCAAGTTCTTGTGGGATGGGCATCCCAAGCCACCTTGTCTCTCTCCTGAGGAATCTGTACAAGGACCAAGTAGCAACAGTAAGAACTGAACACGGAACAACAGACTGGTTCAAGATTGGGAAAGGCGTACGGCAAGGCTGCATTCTCTCACCCAACCTTTTTAACTTGTATGCAGAACACATCATGCGATGTGCGGGGCTGATGAATGCAAAGCTGGGGTGAAAATTGCTGGAAGAAACATTAACAACCTCAGATATGCAGATGACACCACTCTGATGGCCAAAAGCGAGGAGGAGCTGAGGAGCCTTCTAATCAAGGTGAAAGAAGAAAGCGCAAAAGCCGGGTTGCAGCTAAACGTCAAAAAAACCAAGATTATGGCAACAAGAATGATTGACAACTGGAAAATAGAGGGAGAAAACGTGGAGGCCGTGACAGACTTTGTATTTCTAGGTGCAAAGATTACTGCAGATGCAGACTGTAGCCAGGAAATCAGAAGACGCTTACTTCTTGGGAGGAGAGCAAGGACCTATCTCGATAAAATAGTAAAGAGTAGAGACATCAGACTGGCAACAAAGATCCGCCTAGTCAAAGCCATGGTATTCCCTGTAGTAACCTACGGATGTGAGAGCTGGACCTTAGGGAAGTCTGAGCGAAGGAAGATCGATGCTTTTGAACTGTGGTGTGAGGAAAGTTCTGAGAGTGCCTTGGATTGCGAGAAGATCCAACCAGTCCATCCTCCAGGAAATAAAGCCCGACTGCTCACTGGAGGGAAAGATACTAGAGACAAAGTTGAAGTACTTTGGCCACATCATGAGGAGACAGGAAAGCCTAGAGAAGACAATTATGCTGGGGAAAGTGGGAGGCAAAAGGAAGAGGGGCCGACCAAGGGCAAGATGGATGGATGGCATCCTTGAAGTGACTGGACTGACCTTGAGGGAGCTGGGGGTGGTAACGGCCGACAGGGAGCTCTGGCGTGGGCTGGTCCATGAGGTCACGAAGAGTCGGAGACGACTGAACGAATGAACAACAACACACTTAGTAAGATGTCCTCAGACAGTAGGCCGTAGCGACCGTCTACAAGGACGTTGCCCAGGGGATGCCTGGATGTTTTATCATCATGTGGGCGGCTTCGCTCATGTCCCCGCATGAGAAGCTGGATCTGATAGACGGGAGCTCACCCTGCGCCGGATTCCAACCCGGTCACGGGCGGCTCCTTGAACTGTGTTCAAATAACCCTACTTCTCAGGGACAGGGGTTGTCGATATTCTGCAGAGTTGCCTTGATTTACAAAGGTTTTGTCCCCGCCCCCCCCCCCCCCCCCAGTATATCCGTGCATATAATGGGACTGAAGAGGAGTTAACATCTGTTGTAGCGGAGCAGTTTAATCCCCGGTCCTGGAGAACAGAAGTAAATGAGGAGCCGCTATTTACAACGACCTTCCTTCGGTTCTCCTCAATTGGCTCAGCCCCGCCTCATTTGTTTTATGTGCGCTTTCTGCCACCCAGGTCAATAGGACAGAGGCAGAAGGCTTCTTTCACACCACACAAGGGTATCCTACAGGATCCTGGATTTGCCGCGTGGTGAAGGACTAGAAGACCTATTCGATGTCTCTATAAGATGGAGTCAAGAAAATTAAAGTTATATCTACCTAAAGGTTTTCCCCTGGCATTAAGTCCAGTCGTGTCTGACTCTGGGAGTTGGTGCTCATCTCCATTTCTAAGCCAAAGAGCCGACATTATCCATAGACACCTCCAAGGTCATGTGGTCGGCATGACTACATGGAGCGCAATCTATGTGCTATATTATTATGTGCCTTCAAGTAGTTACGGGTCTATGGTGATCTTAAGAGGAAGCTATCACATGGGGTTTTTTTGGGTGGTAGGAGGAAGCTATCACATGTGTGGGGGGGGGGTTGATAGGATTTGTTCAGAGAGGCTTTGCCTTTTGGCTTCCTCTGAGGCTGAGAGAGTGTGGCTTGACCAAAGTTTACCCAGGAGGTTTCCACGGTGGAGGAGTTGGAGGAGTGGGGATTTGAACCCTCCTCTCCAGCATCACAATCCAAGGCTTAGGTAAAAGTAAAGGTTTTCCCCTGACATGAAGTCCAGTGTCCGACTCTGGGGAGTGGTGCTCATCTCCATTTCTAAGCCGAAGAGCCGGAGTTGTCCATAGACACTTCCAAGGTCATGTGGCCAGCATGACTGCATGGAGCGCTGTTACCTTCCCGCCAGAGCGGTACCTATTGATCTACTCACATTTGCATGTTTTCGAACTGCTAGGTTGGCAGAAGCTGGGGCTGACAGCAGAAGCTCACGCCACTTTAAACCTTTGTGCCACCGGGGTTCCAATCCAAGGCTTAAACCACTCTATCAGTTGGACCATAGTCCCAACTAATAATCATTGAACAGCTCTGACGGTTTAACACAGGCATGGGCAAACTTGGGCCCTCCCTCCAAGTGTTTTGGACTTAGACTCCCATCATTCCTAACAGCCTCAGGCCCTTGTGTTTTGAATTAGGGCCTGAGGGGGAAAAGGTAAGGACCGGAGGCTGTTAGGAATGGTGGGAGCTGAAGTCCAAAACACCTGGTGGGAGGACCCAAGTTTGCCCATGCCTGTTGGCCTCTAACAAGAAGGGGAGAGGGCTACATAATAAAAGAGAAAACGAGCATAATCTATTTTGTCTCTCCAAGAATGTCCAGGATTTCCAAATAAGGCACGAATCCCCTTCCCTGTTTTAAAACATATTTCCCTGCTTCGAAGGTTATAGCGCCGAGAGGATCGAGGTAGAGAGAGATGAGAGGAGACGAAGACATTGTATAAGAAAAATAAACAACTGCAACTCGGAAGTTCGCTTCTTTGGGTAGAGGTAAATAAATAAAAAATATAATTTGGGAAGGCGAGAAAATCTTTGTGGCATAGCCATCAGTCCAAAGCAAATTGGTTCAATGGTCGGGAAAGGACCCAAATCCCTCCCTCCAACCAAAACAACGATAGAGACTCCGAGGTTTGCCAGTTCTTTCCTCTCAAAGCAGTGATTCCCAAACGTTGGCTTTCTTGGGGTTTGGGACTTCCCCAGGTGTCCTGGGATTCAGTTTTTCGGAGTCAGAGTCCAATCGGAGTCCAAAATACACGGAAGACCAAAGTTTGGGGACCCTGTTCTCAAGTATAGCCTACAGAACTCGGTATTCCTTCGTGATCTCCCAACTAAGAACTGACTCTGTTTAGTTTCCAGGATCAGGCAGCATCTGGCGCCTTTGTATACTGCATTGAACGGACACCTCCTTTAAAGGTGGACTAAAACCCAGAGCGGATCCACCGCAGCCACACCTCGGACGTCCAAGCCAGTCGGAAAATTGGGGGGACGGGGACGTAGAGGGGGCTGAACCGAAGACTGCGTGGAAATGCTGCTTATGTGAATACGTAAAGACTAAAGAAGCGGTATCGATAGAGCCAATCTCCGCCCTCCCCTTGAGCCCAAGGAATGGAAACGGCAGGCGTGCTTCAACCCAGGGCTCCGTCGGATGCCTACCTTTCTCGTCGTGGGTGGGAGTCGCCGTGGTGGGCATGTCAAACCACTGGGCCAAGGAGTTGGAGTACCACACGGTGAGCTCCTCCCCCGGTTGGACATCCCGCAGCGCCCGGTAGAAAATCTAGCAGCGAAAGGAAAGGGAAAGTCCGGTTGGCAAAGCCCAGGAAGCTCGCGAGGAGGGGGCCCGGGGCCATTCCCTCAACCCTCCTCTCCCTGCCACTCCCCCCCCCCACTCCCCGAGTTCAAGGGGAGGCGGTGGGTACCTGTCCGCCCGGCAAGTCCGCCACGGCTTCCAAGGTCTGCTCCTGCGCGTGCCTGGCCGCCCGGATGAGCCCTATCCACTCCGCCGCGGGCTCCCCGGCTTCGTCCACCAGCTCCCCACGCACCATCCGCACCTGGAAGGCAGGGCAGCCCAGCGGTCAGGCCCAGGCAGCCAGGGAGGGAGGCCGGGACGCAGGGGCACCTCCACGCTGGGACCTCGACCCAAAGCAGCCGCCCTTGGCGCGGAGCTGCTCGACTAGGCAGTTCACGAACACCCTACCAAAGCACAGGCTCTCTCCTTCCTTCCTTCCTTCCTTCCTTCCTTCCTTCCTTCCTTCCTTCCTTCCTTCCTTCCTTCCTTCCTTCCTTCCTTCCATCCATCCATCCATCCATCCATCCCTCGTCGCTTCCTTCCATCCATTCATCATTCCCTGCCTCCCCCCCTCACCGTTTCCTCCATCTTTCATTTTTATTCCGCCTCTTTCTTTTTCTTCCTTTCTTTCCCTCTCTCCCTGCCTTCCTTCCATCCATCCTTCCCTGCCTCCCTCCTCCCTTTCTTCCACCTTTCTTTTTTATTCCGTCTTTCTTTCCTTTGCTCTTTCCCTTTCCTTTCTGCCTTGCTTTCTTCTTCCCTCCCTTTTCTGCTTTTCTCTTTCTAGTTTATTGTCAAAACTTATAATGAAAGAATCAAACTTATAATGAAAGTTTGATTATTTTATTATAAGTTTATTACTATTATTGTGTATTACTTCGTATTATTCTTGTATTCGTCCTGGTGTTGTTTGTTACTTCGTAACGCGTTGAATGTTTGTTTGTTTTTTGTGCTGTAAACCGCCCTGAGTCCCTTTTGAAGAGAGGTTCGGTTTAGAAATAAAGCTTTATTATTATTATTATTATTATTATTATTATTATTCTATTTTTCTTTCCTCTCCCTCCCTCTCATCATCCTTGCTTCCTTTCTCCCTTCATTTATTTCCTTCCTCCCTTTGCCTTCTTTCTTTCTTCCCTACATTTCCTGCTTCTTACTTCCTTCTATTTTTTTCCTTCCTTGCTTGCTTGCTTGCTTGCTTGCTTGCTTGCTTGCTTCCTTCCTTCCTTCCTTCCTTCCTTCCTCCCTCCCTCCCTTCCTTCCTCCCTCCTTTTTTTCCTTCCTTCCTTCCTTCCTTCCTTCCTTCCTTCCTTCCTTCCTTCCTTCCTTCCTTCCTTCCTCCTTTCATTCCTTCCTTCCCTCCCTCCCTTTCCCTTACTAGCCCATTTAAAAAGATCTCTGGCCTAAACCTTGAAGTGGCAGAGGAGAACACCAGTCTATGAGCTCAAAGTCGCAAAACAAGAGGTCAAATCCTCCTCAGGAGTCAGTCCCTCCGAGCTCAGTGCGGCTTCCTTCCCGGAAAGCGTGGCTCCTTTGGGCGGGGAAGGGGACAGCCACCCACAACTATCCCCTCCCGGAACCGCAAACGGGGTGACGATGGGAGTGGCATTGAGACCATCAAATCGGACTAGGCCTCTCGACTCCCGAGTAAATTTGTTCTCCATGGGAGTCTGCCTCTTTAGCAGGGACCCGGGGATTGAGACCTCTTAAACCGACGGCATTAGTTCATTTCGATGGACTCAACCTCCAAGCTCTCTATGCTATGCTAATGTATTTATTTGAGGTGCTTGGACTCGTTGATTCCCTAAAATCCAGTTCTACTGAAATATTGTGTATTCAGCAGAGAAATCTGGCCCTCAGTGCAGTCTGAACTGGGAGGAAAAACTCTCTTGTTTCGAAGAGTTTTTCTAAATCAATGGTTCTGAACCTGTGGTCCGTGGAACACCAGGGGTCCCAAAAAACTAAAATATGGTCAGCAGCCTCACAAGGAGAGCAACTGGTCTCCCGAAGGGAAGCGAGAAGCGGGAGGATGTCGGGAGTGGAGAGGCTGACTACCCACCGGAGCTGGTCCGTGTGGTGCCTGGAAATGGGGGCGCCTTGGTGTCTTCCTTATTAGGCCTGTTCCTGGGGTTATTTGGGGTGCTAATTCAAAACACAATATTGGATAGACCACATCAGCTCTAGATTATTAAATATGGTTTTCTGTGGGTGAGCAGATGGCAACTACTGAATGGCACATGTTCTATATCAGAAACTAGAGCTGAAGTGGTCTATCCAATGCAATTTTCTGAATCAGCACCCTAAATAACCCAACCGAATCTGAAACTGATTCGTAACCCTCATGATACTAATGTTGAAGAGTGGTCCCTGGTCAAAGTGGACCTTGGTTAAATGGTCCCTGGTAAACTAAACAAAAAAGTTGGGAAACACTGTTCTAAATATTAGGTTGTTGTGAGTTTTCGGGCTTTATGTCCATGTTCCAGAAGCAGAAGAGGAAATAATGCTTCTGGTGTATGGCCATACAGCCCGGAAAACTCACAGCAACCTAGTGTTTCCGGCCATGAAAGCTTTCGACGACATATCTTCTAAATATTCTGATTTTAGGATCGAAAGGGCAGCCAACTTAACTAGGATGGCAGCAGCTCTTGCTCTTAACCAGAGTTGTGGGTCCACTTGGTTTTTTGAATGTAAACAACCCGACTTCACTTACTTATGTGTTGCTAGGATGGGTGTGATCCCATTATTTGAATGTTGACTAGTAAATAAGCCTCGTTGAGTAGAGCGGGGCTTTACTTCCAGGGAAGAGATGACAGGATTTGGCATGCATCGTCCCTTTGAAACGAAACAAGCCTTTTAAAACTCGATAGGATCAAAACCCAGATCCATTTCACCGAAGAGGGAAATACACCGTTTGTTTTTCACCGCCGCTGGTCTGTATTTAACTCAGGAGCCGGCAACTTGAAATAGCAATAACAACCACCACCGGATCCATTCCAAATTCCTGCTCCACTTGGCGTCTCCGGGGTCCTCCGGGGCAATTAATTAACATTTAATACGGAGGGAAGAGGGAAAGGGGGCCGCGGAGCTCCGTGACTGAGTCAATCTGCCCCTCCAATCTGCTTGGCGATAGAGAAGAGGACAGAGAGGTCTCCTCCTCGCTCCACGAGAAGGCCATAAAATGTCCTCACTGTCCCCGCAACAAAGGCAGCCCAACAGGAGGAACCAACCAAGACGGAGGAGAAATAAATTTGAAGGGCCTGGCAGGGCGTTTAGAAACGATTACAAGCCATTCAGAAGTTATTATGACAAACCTCGGAGCTCTTTGGGAGAAAAGGAGGGGAAGGAATCGATGCCGCCTTATGCTTGGCTCAGGGGAGGAGAGGCAGGGAGATTTGCACCGGGCCCCTTGGGCAGAGAAAGTTAAAGGCCGGTTTTTTTTCCGTGTCAGGAGCGACTTGAGAAACTGCAAGTCGCTTCTGGTGTGAGAGAATTGGCCGTCTGCAAAGACGTTGCCCAGGGGACGCCCGGATGTTTTGATGTTTACATCCTTGTGGGAGGCTTCTCTCATGTCCCCGCATGGGGAGCTGGAGCTGACAGAGGGAGCTCATCCTCGCTTTCTCCGGATTCCAACCTGGGACCTGTCGGTCTTCAGTCCTGCCGACACAAGGGTTTAACCCACATGCTTGCACCTGTCCCTTTGAGGCAATTGGGGAAATGGACTCCTGCTCAAGAAAGCTCCTAGAAGGGGGGGCGAGAAGATTCTTCCCTATTTTCCTCCCAAATATCTGCCTTTTTTCTGGAAATCCATTTGGTCTGAGGCGTTTCTGCTGTGTTTTTCAGTCTGGTATATAATGACAGAAAAAAGCGCTCCATCTAATGGTTCTTCCCCACTTAGAACAGACCCATTGACTTCATTGGTTTTTAATTGAAGTGCCAACTGGTCAACTTTCCATGAATGTAATGGTGGTGCAATGGGTTGAACCCTTCTGCCGGCAGGACTGAAGACCTATGGGGAGAGCTCCCTTTGTCAGCTCCAGCTCCCCATGCAGGTTCAAGAGAGAAGCCTCCCACAAGGACAGACAAACATCAAAACATCCGGGTACCCCTGGGCAACGTCCTTGCAGACTGCCAATTCGCTCACAGCAGAAGCCACTTGCAGTTTCTCAACTCGCTCCTGACACATAAACAAAAAAAACAAAAACAAAAACCCTGGGTTTCCTCGAGTTTAGGTTTAATCCAGGTTTTGTGGCCTGAAGAAAGCTAATATTTAGGAGCCGTCTAAGACCTCGCTCCCTTCTCCAACCAACAAAACCTGAAGGTAAAGACGATTTTTTTTTATTAACCTGTCTATTGAAGTTCATTATCATTAACTTTGAAATTTGGCTGATCTTTTGTCATCCTCGCTTTGAATCTCACCCACTGGAGAAAAACAGCATAAAAATGAATAAATAACAACAACAACAACCATAACCGGCCAGAAAACCAATAAGTCTCTAGTGGCGATCCTGATTGGCAGCTCTTTTTAAAAACATCCCTGTCATTAAAAACCTATCCTTTCTTCTGGGGCTGAATCTGCCCCATATCCCAGGATCTGATCCCATATTATCTGCTTTGAACGGGATTATTTGAAAGACACTGCCAGATAATCTGGGATCGCTTCCTGGGATATAGGGCAGTGTAGATCCAGCCTGAGATGATATGTTTGCAGTGAATAAAGGCACTTGGGGTGAGCAGAACCTCCCCAACCTAGCTCCCATCTACACTTATTTAACTCTAGTTTCAAACCGATATTGAGGAAAGGGTTTCCGCTGTGCAAATGATGACACAGGATTGGATTCAGTTTGAGGCCCCGATGAGGTTACACAACCAAAGCGCGCGTTGATGACTTCCTTTCGGACTTGTGGGGGGGGGGGGGGGGATTATCGCCTGGCCAACACAATTGGAAACGCATTAAGCGGTCGGTGTAGAGAGGGGAGCCTGGGCTGCCTTTCTCTACAGGGCTCGGGGGAGATGAAGATTGACCTCGCCTAGATTGACCCCCTTCCTCCCTGCCTGCCTCCCCTGCCCCCTTTCCCTTCGCTGGGGGCGTCCAAGGCCGTACCTTTTTCTTGGGTCCGGGCTCCCTGCGATCGGACAGGTACTTGCCCAATTTGAAAGCGCCGGAGAGGGGACCGAGACGCAGTCCGGCCGGGAGGCTGCTCTCCGCCGTGACGCTCAGGGCCGGAGGGGCGCGCCCGCTTTGCATCGCTGCCCCTCGGAGACGGAGAAGGGAGGAAGCAGAGACGGGGAAGGAAGGAAAGATGGAAAGGGCCCGCCAGCCGCGCCGTCCTTCCTCTGACGCAGAGACAGAAGGAGAGGCGACCCAACAAGAGGGGACCCAACGAGGAGGAGGAGGAGGAGGGAGGGGGCCAGCCTTTCGGGCCTTTTCTCCGCCCGCCAAGTGACGCCGTCGAAGCCGTGCGCCGCCTTTTCAAGCGCCCCCCCCCCTCCTCTTTCACTTCATTTCCTCGCTCCCGCTCCCACTCCCACGCGGGCCGGTTCCCCTCCTGTGTCGCCCGGGTGCGGCTGAGAGAGTGCAGCGCCACAACCAGCTGCCGGGTGGCCTCCGTGGGGCTCACATGGAGACTTTCCCTCGCCCCCCTTCCTCCTTCCCCAACGCATCATATCTCTATTTATCGTTCCCTCCCTTCCTTTCTCCTTCCCCCGCCTCCCTCTTTCTCCCCCAAAGCCAAATCTCTGCCTCTTTCCCTCCCTCCTGCTTCCCCAAGACACATACACATATACTTGGTGTTTCCCCCAAAATAAGAAACTCTTATTTTTATTTTCCCCAAGAAGGCACATTCTGGTTTATTTCAGGTGGTGTCTTATTTTCATTAAGTACTAGCTTTGCTGTGGCCAACCTTCCCTCCCTCTTTCTCTCCTCCTTTCTTTCTCTCCTTCCTTCCTTCCTTCCCTTTTTTCTTTCCTTCTCTCCTTCCTTCCTTCCTTCCTTCCTTCTCCTTCCTTCCTTCCTTCCTTCCTTCCTTCCTTCCTTCCTTCCTTCTCTTCCTCTTCCCTTGCTTCCCCCCCCCGTTTCTTTCCATTTTTCTTTCTCTCCCTTCTTCCTTCCCTACCAATTCTTAGACTGCAACTCCCAGTAGTCCTCCTAATCAATCTATCTATCTACCTACCTACCTACCTATCTCTATCTAATCTATCTATCTTATCTATCTGGAGGATTGCTGGGAGTTGCAGTCCAGTAATAGGAAACTGGAAACATGCAGGGATTGGGATGCTCTCAAATAAATCCAAGGAGAAGAAAGCTTGCAGCTTGGAAGCAGTGCATTTGGATCATCCTCCTCTCCTAAAGGGCCTGGTCTAGGGGATGCTGGGAGCTGTAGTCCGGAAGAGAGTGTGGATATGCTATTGTGTGTTTTGTTTGCCAGGGAGAGTCATTTTTGCTCATGCGCTGTAGTTTTGCTTTTTAAGTCCCTTCTGCTGTGTTTTTCAGTGTTTTATGAGTGATGGTCACTTGTTGGCCTGAGAGGTGTATTGTGTCCAAATTTGGTGTCGATTTATTGTCGAAGGCTTTCATGGCTGGATTCACTAGGTTCTTGTGGGTTTTTTCGGGCTATAGGGCCATGCCTCTAGCCCGAAAAAACCCACAAGAACCTTGAGTTATGTTAATCCCACAAACGAACATTACATTTTTATTTCTATCGATGGTACCATATAGCTTATATAGCGCAAATGCTTAGAAATCCTGCTACAGCTTGATTTATGGGTATGTTTTATTTTCAGGAAACAGAGTATATTATATACGTCTCATCCTTCTCCTTTCCTCCTGCCTTGGCCTCCCTCTTTCTTCCCCAACATAATACCTCAGAGATCTCACAACGTGTGAGGATACCTGCCATAGATGTGGGCGAAACGTCAGGAGAGAATGCTTCTGGAACATGACCATACAGCTCGGAAAACTCACAGCAAACCAGGGATTACAGCTATGAAAGCAACACATCTAACATCCCTCTTTCCCTCCCTCTTTCACTCTCTCCCTGCCTTTCTTTCTCCCCAAAGCAAAAGCTGTCTCTCTTTCCTTCCCTCCGTCTTCTCCCTCCCTTTTTCCCCCACAACATGTGTGTGTGTGTATAGGCGCGCACGTTGGGGGAGAAATAGGGAGGGAAAGAAGGAGGGAAAGGATATCTATCTATCTATCCTTTCCCTCCTTCTTTCCCTCCCAATTTCTCCCTCAACACATAATCTCTCTCCTGCTATCCTTCCCTCTTTTGCCTCCCCATCATGCAGTCTCTCTTTTCTCTTTCCATATCTCCGAAGCATCGCTTTCTCTTTCTTTTTCTTTCTCTCTTTCTTCCTCCTTCCCACTTTCTTTCCCCACCCCCAAACTCATAATATCTTTCTTTCTGGGTGCGTCTACGCTGTAGACTCAATGCAGTTTGACACCTGTTTACTTACAATCGCTGGATGCTATGATGGAAATCTGGGAACGAACTATGGTTCTCCAAGGCCTTCTACTTTTGTATTGTCCAACGCCAGAATCACTGGGTTGCTGTGAGTTTTCGGGGCTGACGTTTCGCCTGCATCTATGGCAGGCATCCTCAGAGGTTGTTGGAAACGAGGATTCCCCCAGGCCGTAAGCAGCCAGACCTTGAAGTTGCAAGGCCATTCAATGCTAATTCCAATATTCACACTTGCCTCCAACAGACAAGAGTTCTTTCTCCCACCCTGGGCATTCCACAAATATATAAACCCCCATTGTCTAGTTTTCAATATACCTCACAACCTCTGAGGACGTCTGCCATAGATGGAGGCGAAACGTCGGGGGAAAATGCTTCTGGAACACGGCCATACAGCCCGGGAAACTCACAGCAAACCTTCCTCACCAAATTGTAACACCCAGCATGCCGCAGAACGGGTGAAATATTGTCGAACTACATTAATTCTAGAGTGTAGATGCACCTTTAGCCTCCCTCTCTCTTTCTCCCCCCCCCAAAAAAGTATAATCTCCCCCCCCCTCCCCCTCTCCCTCTCTCTCTCAAGAGCTGAGCAGCCAATGCTCTGGCCCGGGCGACCTTCCCATTCCTAAAAATCCAATTTGTCAAGGGCGAAGAAAAGGCGCTGGTGAATCAAAGGTCCGGAGGGACCATTAATCCTCAGCATGGGGGATTGTCCCCGAGACAGTTACGATATTTTAAGTGACAAATCCACTGTATAATTCCCCCATAAATCCTGCTCGCTCCGATTGTGCGGGGACAAACCAGTTCTGGGGGGAGGCGGGGGGAGGGGTCGGGCGGGGGGTCTGCTGGCTCTCCTCGGCTGCGCCTTTTGTGCGCCCGGAGACTTCAAAGGCCCCTCCCGCGCCCCCCTCTCTGCCCGGATTGTAAAGGCGAGGCGACAAAGAGGGATGGCTGGCCGAGGGGGAGGCGCTGCTCGGAGGACTTGTTAACTTCTATTGATTCCTGGCGTGTGCCATACAGAAATTGGGCAGGTACTTGATGGGAAAACACCAGAAAATACCTACCCTTCCAGAGAAAGGGAACGGACCGCGGCCATATTACCAATTCAGGGGGACGCTGGGAGCCCAGAAATCCCATCCGAGGAAGGCCAAACCATCTCCCTTTCTCTCTCCCCTTCTTGGATTGAGTGGCACCGAGAAGGCAAGGACCGCCTTGGGTTGAAAACACCAAACACTGCTTCTGAAACAACAGTGTTGTTCCACTCACAGAGTCAAAAGACTTGGATGGAGAGGGACGAAATGCGTTCAGTCAACTAGTCGGTTTCCTTTTCACTTCAGGCAGAATTCTCCACCCCCGGATTCAGGTCGCTCCAGGTCTCGTTTTGTCTGTGAGTTTAGGGTTATTAAATAAATGTATATGTGTGTGTTTATATAGTAGGTTTTAGATATATATGTGTGTAATATAAAACCCAACGTAAAGATAAATGTATATACATATTATATATACACGTGTGTAATATAAAATCCTATATATATACACACACATACACACACATATACATATACCCAACTCTCTCTCTCACACACACACATATACACACACACACACACATATATATATACCCAACTCATACACACACACACATATATACCGAGCTCATATATATATACACACACACAACCCCACATATACATACACTCAACTCATACACACACACACACATATACACACACACGCATATACACATACCCAACTCATATATATATACACACATACACACATATATATAAACCCAACTCTCTCTCACACATACACACGCATATACCTATACCCAACTCTTATATCTATACACACACATATAGATATACCCAACTTATATATATATATATATGCACACACTCACACATATACATATACTCAACTCATACACACACATATACATATACCGAGCTCATATATACACACACAAACACATATATACATACACCCAACTCATATATTTATATATAGACACACACATATATATACATATACCCAACTCATACGCATAGAGAGAGAGAGCTTATAGATGTGTGTGTGTGTACAACCAACTCTCATATGTGTGTTGGATTTTATTTTTTATTTCGTGTGTCAAAAGCAGTGCATAAGTAAGCATAAAACTGATAAAATAGAGGAAGCAAAAGCAGCTAAATAATTTTTAAACCAAAAACAAGCAACAGCCACTGCATTGTCCTGTAGTTTTAAACAATTCTTCGTCTGTGCATGAGGCAGGACATTGTGGGCAAGCATACAGATGCGGAGTTGTTTGTTCTGCTCCACAGTCGCACAAGGTGGAGAATTCTTCTAGGTAGTGCCATTTTGCCAGATTGTTTTTTGATCTGCCCACTGTGTTGGGTTTAGATAGAGAGATAGAATTGGGTTTTATATTATACATAGAGCAAAAAGCCGACCAAACAATGTACAGCTATAGACTGGTATTTTGTTGGCAGCTGCCAATTGTTGAAGGACGAATCAACCCGTCAATGAATTCATTTGATTCAGCAGATTTGCTGCCTGTGAAGGCTAACGACAGAATTTAGGCCATTAAAAAGCAAGTGAAGACTTCTGATAAGAGCCCTATCTCTGGGAAAGAAGGAAGTGGCGGAAGACATATCTGGAAAATGTATTTGAAAGCAACGGTATGTCTTCATTAAGCTACTAGGAAACGCGCCAAGAAAGGGAGAGGAAAACCCGGGGGGAAATTAGAAAAGTGCCTCCTTGATTGTAGGATTTTCGTAGCCGCTCCCAGTGGATTTCCTCGAGGCCATTGAATCTCATGGGAGTTCCTTCTGAGTCGGAAAGAAGGTCCCTTACTTTCAGGAATGCTTCAAAATCTGGAGAGCAAGGGAAGAGAGAGCAATTGGTAGCCCGGACTGAGCTTTTGTTCTGCTGACTTCTGAAGTAATCCTGGCATCAGTGGACTTGGTCTGATTCAGACGAACAGAATGGCCCA